TCTCAATACGATACATATCAGAAGATACTGGATAAGACGCCTCAGCTGTTAAACCCCCATCCTCGTGCACCTCCCCTGTCCCACATCTGCAGGGCCGTTGCTTCTTTTTCATGCACAGACACAATTTACTACAGGAGTCATCCCCACCTACCCAATATGATTTACTAAACAAATACCCACCAGTCATCAATGTAAGGAGGTAGTGAACCTTTGGATCCCCATCGCAACCACCCGACATGGGACTGCAACTCTTTTTTGAAGGGCCGCCTACACATCCCTGGACGCAGAGCTACAATATAGGAAACATGTAAAATTTTTTGTTTAGATACACATTCAGCACATACAAACTGCTCTCACCCACTGTTAGCGACTGCACACATATACTTACCCCCTTGTCATATTCTAACTCTAGAATGTTGTAGGTATGATAAGTTTTCAACTGGGGGAAGACAGCAATTTTCCTATCCAAAAAAGTCTGCCCATCCCTAGCACATGGCAGGTAACGCAACAGTAGAGGAATTGATTGAAACAAAAACAATTGTATGCCTATTGGGAATCCGAGTATCACCAAGGAATGTTGTTTCAATTTCTCAACAAGTGCGGCTTGATGGTGGATCACACTGCCAACATTAATCATCCGTAGAGTCCTTTCAAATGATTTCCTCCCCCATGGATATGCTAAAAATAAGTCGACATTCGAAAGCATTTCAACAACCCGGTATGACGGTCTTATTGGTTGTGTACCGCATATTAAGATCCCTTCAACAATAACTAGCAATACAAGCCGAATCTTCCTCCAACCCGGGATGCCAAGCTCCGCCTTCAAAATAGTTACAATGTCGTCGATTGTTAAATTTTTTCCCTCACCAACAAGCGTATACAAATAGGACGGTTCACGATCTCCACTTGAGTTGGCTGAAACATCATCTCCCTTTTCAGGATACGGACCACAAAAGAGCCATGTAACCATCTCAAATTCTACCATCGAAAACCTCAGAGGCCAGCCGCCATATGTGAACCACAGTTCAGTTGGATTGGTAGTTACAATTTGTCGGCACAAGAAATTATGAACAAGTCTACCAGATAATAAACAACGCCGTACTGGCAACAAAAACAAGGACCCAAACTGTGACTTCAAGATAATTTCTAACTCTGGCGTCCCGTCCAATATTTCCAAAATATCAACAAGGTACTGAGGTTTTGAGTACGCGTTAACCCTCCCCTCAGTTGGGTATCAATCAGTTGCAAATAACCTCTCTGGTAACGTCCTTTTACCTACAGTGAGGAAAACAACAGCAGCTGTTCATTATTAATCCCATTGTGCAACAAGTACTAAACATGACATAAGACATATAGATAGGCCAACCATGGTAGGGTATAAGATTAGGGTCACTAACTGTAGATCTTAATGCCGGATTGGCCACATCATCAGCAATCACATCAGTCCTTTCATCACCTACAAGAAACCAACGCTCACCATGCTTTATATACAAGATAAGGAGGTACGAACCCAAATTGTACCAATCTCTAAGCACAAACTGTACCAATGTCTAATCACATATAGACCATTGGACTTTTGAATCACATACCAACCAGCTTATCTACATTGGCCAAGACTCCCCTCCTCGCACAAATAGGCACTACCTGACCCTGTAGAGGAGGTTTTTGAACAATAACTATACCCTAACTGCCGACCTAATCAACCCACATCGAGTTCATAACAATATTCTCCGGAAAATATACACAACTCTAAGGACTGCTCAACCCATATAAATGAATCAACATGCACGCATGAACTACATGTACGTCAACAATCAGTGACAAGTTTGACATTAACTGACAAGGAAACAATGCCACCCAATATAACACATGTGTGCTATTGACTCGAAAAAAGAAATTCTATTGTTTTATGACACCTGCGAAAATACCTACACAAATGCCATGAAGGTTGCGTGTAAAATCAAAATAGGTCAACTAGTTGCAGTACTAATCAAACCAGGCAGAGCACTAATCAGTATCCACAACTTTTAATACTCCAGCCACAAAAACTACAGATAAGTCATACTCACTACTCACAAACAAACTACTCAACACACTGGCTTCCTATTTATCAACGTTTGTTTAACACTAAAAGTGATACCTGGATCTGCCGACATACTTACGTCTGCATTCTCGTCACCTGCAGCAAAACAGGAAGCCATTTTGTATCACCCTGACAAACCAAAGCCCGAAACCATAACTACACGTACCATACGACATACTCAGAACGCAGGAGATGTTGTCCAACACAACACCATCTATAATAATCAGCTTTAGGTTCACCACACACAATAAACATTTAATGTTAACACAAGTTCTCTACAAATATAAATATAGAGATACACTTAACGCTAGCTGATCTATCAATATTCAACATAAACGTAATACTTACGCTAATCCAACCAGACTGACTTTGGCTTTTCCTTCAACGGTGTACATATATACTATACCCTAGTAGCAGACCTTATCAACCCAGACTATACCCTAGTAGCAGCCGTAATCTACCCAAACCGACTATATAACACATTTCCCCATATTACATTCTACTAGAATTTCAACACTATACTCTAGTAGCAGCCGTAATCAACCCAAACCGAGTCATTAACAGGTTTCCCCATATTACATTCTGACGGAATTTTAACACTATACCCTAATAGCATAAATAATCAACCCAAACCGAGTAATTAACAGATTTACCCATATTACAGTCCGTCAGAATCTCAAAATTATACCCTAATAGCATACATAATCAACCCAAACCGAGTAATTAACAGATTTACCCATATCACAGTCCGTCAGAATATCAAAATTATACCCTAATAGCATACCTAATCAACCCAAATCGAGTAATTAACAGGTTTACCCATATGACAGTCCGTCAGAATTTCAACACTATACCCTAAAAGCATACCTAATCAACCCAAACCGAGTAATTAACAGGTTTACCCATATTATAGTCGGTAAGAATTCCCTGCAACTATACCCTATTCAACAAAAAAATCAACCAATATAAATCAATCAACATTTTCATCAAACGGGTAGAGATTGTAATATTTGTATGCCACAAACTCAAGACTGTAAACACATTTATATTTCTGACCTGCAATTCCAGTATTCACCCTACTGGCTGATCGCTTCTGCATATGTCTTCTCTCCGGCGCAAAAATATTCCCACTGTCTTTTACGCGACGTACCGACGTTGATGAACTAGGTTTCCTCACCGATTTTGATAATCTTCTACTCGCAGCTCCGTATTTCTTGGCTCCGACATCACCGGGCATAACGGAATCGATAACCGATTTACTCCTCGTCTTCACCATCCCGAGGACGACGGGAGGATAGTGGGAAACAAATTACGAAACTCAGTGATGGGTAAAGAGACTGGAGTTCGGGTTAATGGGTTGAAGGAGTATGTGGTACCAAATCGGGACACAGTGAACCCTAATCCCAAAGTAAGACCCAAAATCAAACAGTCAACAGTAATCCCTAATTTCTTCTACGCAAGAGACGTCACCTGAGTCGAGGGCGAAACAGTCATTCAACAGTGGTCGGAGACCTGTTGAAGAAAATTTTGTTTAAAAGACTTAAAACGGAAGGATAAGGCTTGGAAAGTGCCTTTTCTCTAATTAACTCATTCTTTAAAGAAGAGAAAATGATAGAATGGTGCCTTCTCAAAGCCAAAGAAATGTGTTATATTATGTCTAACACATGAACAGTTAGCCAAAGAGATAATTTTTGTTTAGTCACTTTTCAGGTTCCCTTTCATTTGCGAATCGATGATGTTTAAATACACAATATACAACAAAGAAACTAACCATTAAATCTACCGTTAAGATTGTGACTAAGGGCATCTCCACTGGAGGTACTTAGTGGGGTACTCTGAGAATACTTAACTTTAAATATAATTACTTTAATTCAAAAAACAATAGAAACATAAGTATCGATACTTCAATAGTGCACTTAAGCACTTGTTAAGTACCGGTATGTGTGGTTTGATGCTAAATATATTATTAATTTAATTTGAAGTACCTTTAATGGGGTACTTGAGTAATGATGGTCTAAGTGGAATGTAATTCCACTAATTTAAGATAGAAAAAGACAAGAAGACAACCTCGGTGTTGATTGGTTGATGCTTTAGAATCTTTTCACAGCTATATTTTGGTCTAAAGCTGTAAATCCACAACAATCAAATTTTATAAATTTTTTTTTTTTTATTCACAGCCTAAATATTTCTTAAATTATTTTTTGGCTGTACATAGATATATTTCCTAAAGCACATATTTTTCAGCTTTCCAAAAAGTCAGTTCCTCCCGCCAAAATACTATAATAATAAAATCTACAACTACTGTCAAAAATTCTACAGCTTTAAATCTATAGACCAAAAAATAAAATTACAGCTATAATCAATCATGCCCATCGTCTCAACTCTATCTTCGCATAGATGATGTCGGTTTACTCCGGTTAACCAGTTATGTTCTCATCGGAAAATGATATAAAAACTAAAAAAAGTTTAATAAACTAGTATATAATAAGATTAGAAAATTACAAATGACAACAACCATTCAAACTCTCTATTTTATCCCAAAAAATGAAAATATGGGTGATAAATAAGTTGACCAAAATAAGGTAACAAATAAAAAATAAATTGACCAAACAAAAACAACAGCTACCATTCAAACCCATAATTTCCCAATATAGTACATAACCCAAAAATGTGAAAATGTATTTTCAAATTTTTTTTTAAAAATCATTTGCTTAGAAAAAAATCCCATTTATGTCGACAGGACAAAAGAAAGAAATAAAAATCCTATCGTTTGATTGGGCATCATCATCGTCACTCGTCATCATCACAAGGGGTAATCAAATTAACGGGAGAGAGAGCGAGTATACATTTTTATATATATTAAAATCTACTCTCAGCTTCTGTCAAATTAATCACTCCCATCATATATTTTCTCTGCTGCTTGCGCTTGTTCCTTCTCTCTCTCTCTCTCTCTCTCTCTCTCTCTCTCTCTCAGCTTCCTTCTTCTCTACTTTGAGATACTTTGATTCAAATATCTCAACTCCATCATCTTCCTTACTTCGATGTCCAAGTCTAATCCTTAAACCCTTTATATCTCTGTCTCTTATGATTCGACAACTATGGGAATTTGGGTTTGGTGAAAGATGCTAACTTTGAAACTGAGATTGACCGTTTGAGAAGACAACATGCGAATTCTGTGTGATGCTTGCGAGAGTGCCGCCGCAATTGTCTTTTGCGCCGCCGACGAAGCTGCTCTCTGTTGCTCCTGCGACGAAAAAGTAACCAACTTTATCTGAAATTTCCACTTTTTAGATTATCACTTTGTGACTCAAGGTCTCGACCAATGCAATCAAAGTTTGAATTTTGAGGCAATTTATAGATTTTGAGGTTATTGTACCCAGAAGTAGTTCCAAATTCTTTGAAAGTCAGGCGTGTCTTTTGATTGTTAGTGACTTTAGCTTGTCATGATTTGAACTTTGCTTATAGCATTGTCTCTGGTGATACACTTCACAGTCACTATATTGCAGCTGTAAGAGCTCTGAGATATTATTTGAGGAGAATGGTCATAAGTACAGGAAGTGATGATTTTTAAGAAAGAAACATTTTTGTTTGTGTGTTCAGGTTCATAAGTGCAACAAGCTAGCTAGTCGGCATTTACGTGTAGGCTTAGCTGATCCAAGTAACGCTCCAAGCTGTGACATATGCGAAAATGCACCTGGTATATGATGATTCCTCTGTCTTTCTTTGGTGTTTGGAAAAAGGACAAATCGGGTTTTTTTGACATGTTTTGTTTTCCTCGTCGGTGTGAGCAGCATTCTTTTACTGTGAGATAGATGGTAGTTCCCTTTGTCTACAATGTGACATGCTAGTACATGTTGGTGGGAAGAGAACACACAGGCGGTTTCTATTGCTGAGACAGAGAATTGAGGTATGAATCTTGAATTCAGTTCCTAGGATCCTGAAGCATTCTTGATTTGTGATACTGATTGTTGTTTACAATGTTGTGTCTTGTAGTTCCCAGGTGATAAGCCTAATCACGCCGACCAATTGGGATTACGGTGTCAAAAGGGTTCTTCCGGTGGAGGTCAAGAAGCAAATGGAAATGGTGATCATGATCATAATATGATTGATCTTAACTCCAACCCTCAAAGAGTACACCAAGTACGTGTATCTTATCTTAGATTAGATGAACTCTATTTATATTGCCTCAATTTTTCTACAATGTCTCTAAAACTGGTTTGTTTGTTTCAAGGATGAGGGTATTGATGTAAATGGCGCAAACAATCATGAGCCTCAAGAGTGATCATAGATACACAAGATCAAGTAAGAGCCTATGCACTAACGCAAGAATACTATCTTTACAGGGAAATTTTCTTATTTTGTTTTGAAGATATCAGCTTAAATGGCTTAGAGGAAACAAATAAGTTGGTTTCTTGATTTCTTCTCTTTTTTTTTTTTTTTTGATGATCAATTAGATAGCAAAGCTTGGAAGTGATTGTGTATACGGTCGATTCTTCAGATTTAAATCTCAAATAAAAACTATGAAAAAAATCTGAGCCTTCAGACAAAGCTTTTATAGAAAGTAGTAAAATCTTGATAATCTCTTCAGCAAGTGTAGCCATGCCTTCTCGGCTCGGTTTAAGTGACCACTGTGAGCCATTGCTATTAAATTATCTTCTTCTTTGATATTGTTTTCTTCTTCTTCTTCTTCTTCTCTCTGTGCTTAGTTTTGTTAACTCCAAGCTCACTCTGTTTTTGCATTTTTTGGTCTTATAAAGAAGAGTGTGTTGAGAGTCATGTGACCTTGAAATGTAATCACCCATTACTTCAGTCTCAATATGCTGTTTCGATGTTTCACCCTCCATTTTTTCTTGGATTCTTGCATCATGAACATAATTGCTTGGTATTCTGTAAAGTGGCTAATGTCGTTTTCTTCTATTAGATTATTTTTCTGCTCAGAGAGCATAACGTTACTATCATTGTTCCAGTTTCATAACTAGTGAACCAGTTTCTTTTAATGTCTTTTATAGCAATGGTTAAAACAAACGTAACTCAGTAAGGGTAGATACAACGATAGTAGAAGACGATCATATCAACCAAGAAGAAACAAACTAGTCTCACATGATAACACACGAATTGACTTTTATACCGCTTATAATGAAGAAGAGTATAATAACTCAAAACACCAGAATCAAGCTCAAGTTTTTGAGTTTTGATCTATGGAACCATTATTACAAATAGCTTAGTAGGTGTAGCCTTTTACAAACATACCCTCCTTGGCTTCCTCGGACTCGCCTTCTCCTGTGTATTTCCCGAGCTGAGCCAACGAGTTGGCCTTGGCTCGGGCCAAGAGAACGTCCTGAGCTGCCTTCACGTTCTCTTCTTTGCCTCCCCAGGTCTTCAAGCAAGTGTTCTGCAAGGCACGTGCGTAGGAGAAGGACACATGCCATGGGTTCGGTGCCTGGTTCATGGCATTCAAGTTCAAGGTTGCCTCCAATTCGGACTGTCCACCAGATAGGAACTGCATACAGTAGATAACATCATATCTCTGTTTCAATTCTAAAGCATAGTATCTTCTTCAGCTGCAAAAATGTGACGGTAAAAGAGAAAACTTGCCATAATTCCAGGGACAGCGGGAGGGATTCTGTTGCGTAGAAGCTTGAGAGTGTAGGAAGCAACCTGGTCGGGAGTAGCTCTGTCTTTGGCCTCAGCTCCTGGAGTAACCATGCTCGGCTTCAGGAGAATACCTTCATACATGACGTTGTTCTGAGCGAGGTAGAAGAAAACCTCAGCCCAGACCTTCTCTGCAACCTCGTATGTCCTGTCAATGCCGTGTTCTCCGTCCAACAGAATCTCTGGCTCCACAATTGGCACCAGACCGCTGTCCTGTAGAACACAAACTCAAAACGCATAAGTATATTCAGTAGAGTATTAATGTATATGAGAAACCGCGGCGAGGTTAGAAAAAGATAGAACCTGAGAGATAGCAGCATAGCGGGCAAGTCCCCAAGCTGCTTCTTTAACAGCCAAAGCAGAGGGTCCATTTGGAATGCTCACAACAGTACGCCTAATCACACAAAGGGAGAGTTCAATCAAAACCACCACCATTTGACATATATATGATTATGAGAGTACATATATTATTAACGACATACCATTTGGCGAAACGAGCACCTTGCTGGTAGTAAGCAGCGGTGCGAGAGGCTAGCCCGTCGAGTCCTTGGCACCAAGACTCGTCGTTAGACCCAGTAAGTGGCACCAAACCCTGTTTATAAAGAAACAAACTCATTATCCACTTTCATAAAAACACATACACTCATAGCTTCCATTCAAACTGAACCGAATCTCAACCGGACTAAGATCTTTATAACTTCAAATTCCGATCAGACCTAAACCGAATCAAATCTTAAGGTCCAATGCACATGCATGCCTAACTCTAAAACTAAACCAGAATTTCAAATCGAAGAATAAACCAAAACAAACCAAATTCTAAATCAGACCTAAACCTAGCTAGGTTTACTACACAACATACCTTGTCGACTTTGATGCCAGGGACGATGTTCTGCTCGACGAGAACATCAACCATTTTCTTGCCGTCAGTGGTGGATTGGTAAAGAGTCTCTTCGAAGAGGATAGCTCCGGAGATGTACTGTCCCAGTCCTGGAGCAGACACAAGCAACGTCCTGTAAGCTTGACGGTTAGCCTCAGTGTTCTCTAGCCCAATCGACGCCAAACGCTTCCCACAAGTCGCGTTTGACTCGTCCATCGCCATAATTCCATGTCCCGGAGACGCGATTGTTTTCTGCAACACCATTTTTTTAAAAAATCATCAACAAATGACATATAGAGATATAAATTTGTGTTTGGATATAATAATAATTACAGCTGTTTTGACGAGCTCATCGGAGTAAGCAGAGGCGGCACGGACGGTGAGAGAGGAAGGTGTGACGTTGTTACGAATAGCAGAGACGGAGGAAGGTTGACGGAGGAGGAGACTCTGTCCTTTAACCCAATCAGATTTGACTGGTGAGGCTTTCAGCATAGTCGCACTGCTTGACGCCATTTTTGCCTGCTTCTTGATTAATGGAAACAAAACGCTTATAACGCTCTCACCACAATACACACACACAAGTAGAGCAATATATAGAGAGTGAAGAGACATCAACAAAAAGATTGGATTGTTGAGGTTCTCGTGAGCCGGCTGACGAGGATTTGCCACGTGGACGATAATATTTTCGTATGAGACTAAAAGCTTATGATAAAAAAATATTTATATTTGAACATTGATGCCTTGACATAAATATTTTCTATGTTTTGTAGCTTAATCGAGACTACGGTCCACATGTTCGTTCACTAGAGAAATCGACAAATTCTAACAAAATTCACCTAGAGAACCGTAAATTACAATGATAGGTGAGATATGATGAGTCTGTGAGAGGTGTTGATGAGTTCTTTGAGGTTTTTAAGGCTGAGGTTTTATCATCAGATATTGTCATGTCTACATCGACGATCCACAGGCTGCCATCTCAGCTCTTACGTACATTTATCGTGCCACGTGGCAACCAGCAGATTTACTTGTGGGCTTCTCAAAATTTGGGCCTGGACCAGACAATTTCTGAAACTTATAACTGAAGGATAGTGAATTGTGCATCAGGAAAGCCCATTTATTTTTTTAAAAACAAGGCCCATAGTATATTTCTAGTCGAAAGTGAAATACATTACACTACAATACAAACAATTGATTGCAAATTGCGTACAGTTATAGACTTTTACAAAGTAGTAGGGTCATGACTTGTGAGTGAGTCGATGCATATTAAGATCTTCTTGTCCTCTGTCTCCAACATGAAAACAACACTTGGACGAACTTGTTTCCAGTCACACATTTGCTTTATCAATCTCCCCCCTCATAATTTTTGACGGTCCTCTTTGCTTTTGGGCCGTCAAATTTTGCTTCTCTTTAAGCTGTGGCAAAATTTCCAATTTGGTTAACCGGTTAAATTGAAGAAGAAAAGGTTAACCGGTTAATTCTACCAAATCATTTGACCGAATGCTTACAAAAAAAAATGATGTGACGACAAGTCAGAGTTGAGTTGTGTTGTTTTCTATCAGTTTACGCCGGGAAAGCTTTCAAGCCGCAACTTTTGTGTCCTTTGAATTAAGTGAATCATCAAGAAACGATGCAAATCCAATGCAAAACCCTAACTTTTACGGTTTCTTCGATTTCTTCTTCTAACCCAAAGCTACCATTCCGATCTTCAGTCACTTTACGGTCATGGAAGCAGCCATTCCCAAGTTTCAGGAGCTCCTCTGTTTCCGGAGCCAAGTCTTTGGAGTTGAACAGATTTATAAGAAACTGTGCAAGTCCGAATCAGGAGCTTGTTGTTGATGGAGAAAGCGGAAATGGGTCGGGGAATGAGCAAGTGATTGAGGTCCAAGGAGTTGCAAATGGTTCGATTTCTCCGGTTGAATTGGAAGTGGAAGTAGAAGAAGGGAAGGCAGATGACTTGGCGAATCAGAGTATTTTGGGACAGATGAAAGAGATCGTCATGTTTACCGGACCTGCCGCTGGACTGTGGCTATGTGGGCCGTTGATGAGTCTCATTGATACGGCGGTCATTGGTCAAGGAAGCTCACTCGAACTCGCTGCTTTAGGTACGTATGACTATACAATACTCATCATATAATCTTGGCTTTTTGATTCCTCAACTTATACTGTGGACAAAAAGTGGTGAATTTTGAATTGAGTCTCTTTGCTTTTTGTTCCTCAACTTAACCACGCACAAAAAAAAGAACAAATTTTTTTAGCCTTTTTCATGTTCAGATAATGTTAGTCTCTGTCTAACCCAGTGAAGAGCTTTCCTCTCTTTTCATCATCTGTGTGTAACCTTGAAATCTAAAGTGGCCCTGTATGTGTTTATCTCTTGTGATGTGCTGGAATAGCACTAATCTTTCTTTAATGAAGTTTTTAATACTGCTTGATTTTCGTTGGTTGAACTTACCAAAAGTTCCTGCTTTAGGCTTTCTCTTGTTTTCTGTTCTGGTTAGAGTGAAACTACTGAGGAGAAAATGGGTTCTTTAGATTCCATAAAGCAAGGTAGCTCTCTTGTTTGATTGTCAATTTGGAAACAAAGATGTCTGTAAGTTTCAGAGTTCAGCCATGATTACTCAAGACTTCTGAACATTTGATTTTGATTTATTTTAAACCTTGAATGTATTACTCGAACTGGGAACAACCGATTGTTCTTCCCTTTGCTATGTTTCACTCTGGGGTTACTGGTTCAAGTAGCAGTAAATTTAATTTCACTATGAATGAAACAGGTCCTGCTACTGTAATCTGTGATTATTTGTGTTATACGTTCATGTTCCTCTCGGTTGCTACTTCAAATCTTGTTGCCACCTCTCTTGCTCGGCGGGTCAGTTTATCGTTCTTGAACTATGAATTTGGCCTATAATACCTTTTTTAGTCATTGATCATTAGCAATATCAAGGATTTCCAAGTGCACATTATTACAACTCCTAATAGAATGGTGCTTATGCAGGATAAAGATGAAGTACAACATCAGATATCGATCTTGCTTTTCATCGGGCTGGCTTGTGGAGTCACAATGATGGTGTTTACAAGACTGTTTGGTTCTTGGGCATTAACTGGTAACAAGGGATATTTGTATCTGACCAGTAGCAAGTTTGTGACTAGTAGTAAATCAACACTCTGCTGACTGTTTAGTCTTCTTCCAGCTTTTACAGGGGTAAAGAATGCTGATATTGTCCCGGCGGCCAATACATATGTACAGGTTAATACTCTATCTCGGTGTACCCTTTTGTGATGTAAATTTCAGATTATATGTTTTGTGAGCTTTGGTGAGTGCGTTGGCTGTATGCGTACAGACATATATGCTTCTTCCATGTGGATCTTTCTGAAGAAGATGCACATGTTAGACTAAGTTCGATCCATGCTAATAGCCTTGAGTTTTGTTAATTCTTGGCGAAAACTTTCGTTTACCTTACATCCTCTTTCTTCCTTTGTTTTGACGATTTTTATTTTCCGTTTTCAGATTCGAGGTTTCGCATGGCCAGCTGTTCTCATTGGATGGGTTGCTCAAAGTGCAAGGTCCCTATATAACATATTTGCATTATTACATACCGCTAGGCGCTAGGATTGTATTCTCTGATTTTCTGGTATAACAGTGTCTTTTTTTCTTTTTTTTTTTTTTTAGTCTTGGTATGAAAGACTCATGGGGACCTCTAAAGGCATTGGCAGTTGCTAGTCTAATCAACGGTGTTGGTGATGTGGTCTTATGCACCTTTCTAGGATACGGTATAGCAGGTGCAGCGTGGGCAACTATGGTGTCACAAGTAAGCTTTAATCTATAAGATTCCCATCAAAGCTCTAATTTTAGAACTGAAATATTATTTTCTGGTCATATGATATGAGCTAGTTAACATTATAGTCTTAATGCCATATGTTTTAGGTTGTTGCAGCTTATATGATGATGGACGCATTAAACAAGAAAGGATACAGTGCGTTCTCATTCTGTGTTCCTTCTCCAAGTGAACTTTTGACGATCTTTGGGCTCGCTGCCCCAGTCTTTATAACTATGATGTCAAAGGTGCTACTTCTCTTGTATCTTATAGGGACCTCGTTTGCCACAGGATCGCCTCTTGCTTATCTGAGATTTTTGTTTTGTCCCCTTAGGTTTTGTTCTATACACTCCTTGTGTACTTTGCTACATCAATGGGTACAAGCGTCATAGCTGCTCATCAGGTGATATGTCCTTTTATTTCTCATCATCAACAATGTTTCCTGATTTGAGGTTTCTCCATAATTTCTTTGGCTCTTTTGGTCTCTAGGTTATGCTTCAGACATATACCATGAGCACGGTTTGGGGAGAGCCTCTCTCTCAAACTGCACAGTCCTTCATGCCTGAGTTATTATTTGGAATCAATCGCAATTTGCCTAAAGTAGGTGAAAAATCAAGAGTCGAAACCATTGTCAACTGTTACTGTTTCCTGAAGCAACTCTGGTTTTATTGTTGTCTGTATGTAGGCTAGAATGCTTCTGAAGTCCCTTGTTATTATTGGAGCTACGCTAGGAATAGTAGTCGGAACCATTGGCACAGCAGTTCCATGGCTGTTCCCTGGCATCTTCACACAAGACAAGGTTGTCACGCTCGAGGTATTCCGTTTCCGTTTTCTTTCGAATCTGTCTCGTATGTTCCCAGAGACTCATTTTATAAGAATGACAAGTTTCAAAAACGTTTTTTGTTCTGTATTGTGACAGATGCACAAGGTCATAATACCATATTTCCTTGCTTTATCCATCACTCCGAGTACTCACAGTCTTGAAGGCACCTTATTGGTAAAGCTTACATTTGTGTCTCATTACATTTCTGGGTCTATTTCAGAATTTCTTGGAAAAAACTAAAATTGTTGTCTGTCACCTGAACCAAAGGAACTAAATTTATTTTCTGTAAAATGAAGGCTGGAAGAGATCTTAGATATATCAGCTTGTCAATGACTGGATGCTTAGCGGTTGCTGGGCTCCTGCTTATGGTACTCACCCTCTCTGTCCTTAATATCCATCGCTCTGCTGAATTGCAAAATAGGTTTTCTGTAACTCTCTCTTCGTCGCATTGTTTATAATTGACACATAGCTCCTGAGCAATGGAGGATTTGGCTTGAGAGGATGCTGGTACGCGCTTGTTGGATTCCAATGGGTAAAAACTGCTATACCTTTTCTAAGCCACATAAACCAAACGTCACATATCTTTTGCTCTTCTTGTATCTAACATGAATGATTTCAGGCTCGGTTTTGTTTATCTCTTTTCCGCCTTCTATCGCGAGACGGTGTACTTTACTCGGAAGATACAAGCAGATACGCTGAGAAAGTGAAAGCTGCGTAACTCAGTAAGTCATCATATACATCACAAGAAAAAGTGTAAGGAATAGAAAAGAGCTTCATTCAGCTGTAGATCAATGAAAAACTCTGATTTCAAATTGTATTCTTGAAGAACAGGAAATGTATTTGATTGAAATGGAAAAGTCTTGGCATAAAAGGCCCTGCTTCTAGTCTTGAGATTCTTCTGTATATAAAAGATGGTGCAATCAATCTGTTGCAACTCTTCTATATCTTTGTTTTCTTTTCCCCAGCTTTCAATTTGGTGGGACTAGGACGATACAATATAACAGTTCGCGCAATTTTCTCGACTATTACCGAACCAGTGGCTTCCTCCAGATGCAAAATTATCTCATCTAGATCTCCAGGGCATGTTCTGTGTATTTTCACCTATTCATGGAATCAATCAAGACTTCAATCCCTTTCATTGATCAAACAGTAACTCTTCCAAGCGGAAACTACAGTTCAATTACTCAATCCGAATGTTGGAGGGATTGTTTAATCCATAGTAGTAACAAAAAAGTTAATACCTTTAAGAGCTCGTTCTTCTCCAGCGTCTCTAAAAAGGAGAGGATGACCGAATCCGTAACGCCGGATTTGCCTACGAGTTGAGATTTGAGTTTGTCGCCCAAACTGTGAGCATAAGAAGCAAGCCTTTTCTTCTCCTTCACAGACAACTTCAATGAAGAGATCTCAGTCATCATCTCTGCAGAAATTTCAGAGGTTCTTCCACTTTCTTTCATGGAAACCATTGTACTGTCCGAACCATCTTCTTCTTCATCATCGTTATTCTCGCCAAAAGAGGCTACAGACACGTTGTCTTCATCTTGTTCTGATTTAGGTGCTATGAGAGTAGAGAAGGAGTGAGAGAGTGAGATATAAGGACATGGAAGCGGTAAAGAAGAGGAGATTGACAGGAAGCGACCCTTGTCATTGTGATTTGATTTACGGGTTAACACAGACAAAGGAAAGGGTCTAAGGAACAGAGAAAGAGGAGATGTTGGTTTGGGATGTCGGAGAAGATGGTGGATCAAGTAAGTCAAAGTGGATGATTTTAGTTTTACAGTCGCCATTGCAGCCATCTCCGGTCTTCTCCTCTGCTCTCTGAGATTTATGGGGTTTATAATACTTTTTTCAATTTAATTTATGCGTTGCTAAAATTGAAGCAAATGGGTGTTTGGTCTAGTGGTATGATTCTCGCTTCGGGTGCGAGAGGTCCCGAGTTCGATTCTCGGAACACCCCTTGCTTTTTGCTAATTCGTTTTGTAATGTTTGAAACAGCAAAATTGCAGGATAAGCTGTATTTTCGATAACAAGAAATCTTACAACAATACAATTATTTGGTTTGTACGCAAGAATACTAACAAGAAAATATGTTCAAAGTTCGATGCACAACCGTTTGTTCACATGCTCTGGTCTTGATAGTATGTTCTGTTTCACAGCTCCCTGTTCTGTTTTGCCCCCTTCAATGCAAGGAGAGAAGCTCCATAGGACGCTTCCGTCTGGATGGCTTTTTTCACAGGCAAACCTAGAACTCGCTGCCTTATCTTTATCCACTTGTTGTTCTTGGCTCCACCTCCTGCTGTGAATACTTCCTCTGCCTCCGTTGCTCCCAACTCTTTTAACAAGTTGTAGCCTTTCCCCTGCATTTTGTTCTGATTGTTGCCATGAGTCATGTGGAAGTCAGTAGCAACCACATAGAAATGGTTTTTCGTACCTCAATACGTGCGATTGATTCCAATATACCATGCAAGTATTCAACATCGCTTTCTGGCCGTGGAAGTAATCTGCAATATGTAAACATGTTTTCTTAAGTGAATCTATACCGATGCTTTGAAGGAAGATCAATCTATAGCTTTCTTGTTACATATACGAAAACACTTGTGAGAACATTAGAAAGAAGAGAGACCTGGGTGCCAAGTTAGGATCAGCTATGGGAAATCTTTCACCGCTGCTTTGAAGAGGATAATAATCTAGAGAAGATGCGACCATAGGATTAATTTCTTGGCTCAGTTTTTCTAACTGTTCGTCACTAAATAGCTGTCTGAGAACTGCTCCACCAGTGTTGGAAGCTCCTCCGACCAACCATTTGTCATCCAGGCGGTGGCTGTAGACTCCATACCTTGCATCATCAACTCTTTTGGTGCTGAGAAGTTTGATGGCTAAGGTCGAACCCAATGAAGTTACCTTTGGCAAAGATATTAAAAAAATATAATCATTTCATTGTACAAACATCAATATGTGGCACACAGTACAGTTGTCACATAGATATGTTAAGTGTGCAGCTAAGAAATAAATAATATTCAGAAAGTATTGCAGAGTTCTCACTGCTTTCCCAGGTTCAGTCGCACGTGCTGCAAGAAATGCAGCTATACTATCAGTTGTACCCGTGCACACAATGCAATCATCCGGAAATCCTGGTCAAGCCAAAAAGAAGATTGAAAATCTATGTTGCTTTTCAGTGATTTTTTTATTTGTTAGATTTAAGAAATTTTTTACCAAATTGCTTTCTAATGCTTTCTTGTAGAATGCCTATTGATGTTCCAGGAGCTTGCACCATAGGTAATAAATGAGAATAAGGCTGACTTAGCAACCATGACGGATATGATTCACTCTCAGGATCATAGCCCACCTGCACTCAAACCCAAAATAGGAAAACACTTTTGGGACTTGCATTTCTTCTTTATCAGCCGATTATTAATCTACATTCTTGGCTTAAATGCAGGAAATACTTCACGGTGTTACCTTCAAGGCATTATTGTAATCTGACACTCCGAGTTTGCCGTGGAGTAACCACAACAACCAATCTGCCTGATGCAGCAATATTGCTGATTCTCTGTTCGGCACCTCAGTATTCCACCATGAGACGAGTTTGCACAATGTAGAAGTACCAGAGCAGACTGTGTGGTTTGCTGGAGCTATAGACTTAACCTCTGGCAGAGCATCAGGGCAGCTCTGGTTGTAGAGTAAAGGTTGACACAGAACTTCCCCATCTTCACTGATACACATAAGTGAATAAAGCAATGGTGATTTAAACAACAATATAATAATTTCATTTAGCTATGATGACTGATGATGCTTAAGGATACTAGAGAAATTAGTAACAACGATGAGACTGAAAATCAAATCATCTAATATGGGTGGAATACAGAAAGAGAAAAAGAGAGACACCAAACAACAAAAAGGGATATGATGAACCACATGCCTGTTTAAGATGAGAGTTGTTGCGGAAGTTCCATCAAGAGAAATAGATGAGACGAGGGAGCGAACGGTAATGGGAATGTCCTCTAGCAGCGAAAAAAGAGTTGATTTCCATGAGCTTGCCCAATCCATGCTTTCTTCTTTCTATCTAGATAACAAAATAAACGTCTCAGTCCATAGCCTTTTCTTGATTTTGTTCATAGCTTAGCTCAGTATTTGTAAATGATATACTTAGGAGAATTCCCAAATCCTCATTCTAAAAAAACAAGATAGCAAATCTAGACTGTTGAGGTTATAAACAATACCAAACATAAATCCCATAATATTTAGCAAAAGAATTTTGGTAACCCTCCCACTGCGTTTTATGTGAATTAAAGATTCAAACTTAATAGGAAACCGAACCAAGAACTGATGATGACACAAGCAACCAGCAATTAGCTAGCTATAACAAAGACTAAACCAACACAAAGCACCAATCAAGTGAATCACTCCTAGGTAGCTATAGTATAATGGGAAATTAAATTTAACCATGAAAGGAGGATATTCTCTTTTCCCTTCAGCTCTAATCCCTCCTTCCTCATCAATAACTGTAAATCGAGCTCCAGAAGTACCAAAATCCATACCAAGGTAAAGTTTTTCAAAGTTGGTTCCTTTATTACCACTCATGTCCGCCATAGCTCTGAAATCAGAGCTCCTTCCTAAATTAAAGTAAAACCGAGTTCTGGGTAGAGTAACACTCCTTGAACTAGAACACCCTGGAAATTTAAAATCACCATCCGAGGTTAAAACCCTCCCAAAACGACGTCAAATCGAAGAATCTTCATGTTTATTTTAATTTTACCTGATTGTTTTGGACACGTGAAGAGCTCAAACGAAGAAATCTGAAACTGACGAAGCATCAGCATCTCTATCTCTCTTCTCCTCGTCCTTTTGTTGCTGAGGCTGTTTCTTTTTTCTTCCAAACTCCATAGATAAGGGAGCTTGCAAGTTCGTGACCGTTGGATTGCTCGATTCGAAAACGATGATATTTTCTGAATTTACCATTTTAGCCTTCGTTGTTATTTAATTTACACTCCACTCAACCAAAACAGTTGGTTGGGCTGCACGTTCTCTTGTCATCGAAACGGTTCAAGATTGTTATTATTATGCGTGCGGTTTTCGTTTGGCATATTCAGAAACGGACCCTTGTAGGCCCAATTTTGCTTCGGCCCACGACTAGTAATGATGACATGTTCGTTATAGTAAGTAGTGTAGTACCAAAATTTTATACACAAACAAATATAAAAATGTACATGCAAATGCTATGCAATACTTGTCTACATATATAGGAAATTTTCCACACTACCAAATGTAATATTTTAAGAGATGATCATCATATCATAGCACTAGGATACAAAAACATAAGAACATGAGACATGACACGTGAGGGAGAGAAAAGCATGCACGTGCGAGACAGATGTGCGGTGGAGTGGAGCTCAAGAAGTGGGAGAGAGAGATACATAATACATACTAGGGATGGACCCGCACGTACGTGCGGGGATGATTGCAAAATTTAAGTTTATCATAAAGTTTGCAATATTCGGATCGACATGATAAGAAACCCGGATCGAGTGTGAATCGAATTAATGATAAGTTAGAAATCAATTAAATTTGCGAACTATTACATCACATAAAAACAATAGAAAACATTAAAATTTTTGAATAAAATAACATAAATATAGATGTCAAGAGAGTCAAACCCGTTCACTATACATGTCTTGCAACAAAGTAAAATATTTTGGCCCACCCATATGAATAAATAATATGTCTTCTTGCATGTTACCCATAATTCTCTTCTGTATAATATTAGACTTAGTTAAGATAATAAATTTTATTTTCTAAATTACCGTTATCTTTCCGTATCCGTTATTTTTGTCCCGATATTTGAAATATTTAAGTAATTTGAAACTCAGTTTTGCTATTTAAATTTCATATTCATGTATCATACCCGTCATTTGATATTTTGAAATCTAAAATTCAATATAAGTTTCCAAATTTTTTATATCGTCTTGTTTTTGATGAGAAATAGTTTAGATTTTTTTTTTTGAATTACCCGTTTCCTTTTTGTACCCGTTCTTTCCCTCTAAAATAAAATCATATTATATATATATATATGAATGGCATCATTTACATGTTTTAAAAAATATATATATATATTATATAGCGTGTAATTAACAACATTAAAAACCAATACCGTTAATTATTAGGCTGTTGAAACATATAGCCAGTAATTATATTGTATTGTTATTTTTTGTGATACCACAAATTTAAAGAAATGTAACCAAAGAGTCACATTTATAAACTAAGAACTGATCTCGAACTAAATCATAAAAAAAAAAAGAATCAATTGAATAAAATATATATTAAATATTTTAGTAAGTAGCTATGGTAAATATAGATTAAGTTATGGAAATTCAAATAAATATTTGCTTCCATTTTTAATCATAATTATTTGATCTTATTTATTTATTTGTAGCATACATTAACTTTTTTTTTTTTGGATTTTCAATGTTATATTATATGGAAAATATAATAATCATGTGATATGATTTCCTGAAGTTTTCTAAAATTATTAAATGCTAATTGCATATTAGTTAATATCCAGCAAGATTGAGGGTTAATATATCATTAAATTGATGTTAATAATTAGGAATGATTATTTGACAATTTAATTTTTGGTCACATACTATTTTTGGTTTTTTTATTTTATTTCAAGGAAATATATAAATATCTCATTTCTAATTAATATATCTCAAAAAGTGTTTTTGTTTTGCTATATTTGCGAGATTGTTTTTCAATATGAAGATTTTTAATGTGAAAGGAGATTGTATGTGATATAAAATATTTATTCTATTGATTTTTAAAAACAAATTT